TACGTTTCCATCCTGAGCCCGGGGAATCTCTGGTCAGGAATCAAAGCAAGGCCAGGGACCCCGAGAGTCCCCCAGAAGAGGGGCAATGGCACATTGCCCCAGGGGCCTTCCCTCCACCAAGTTCCCCGATGTACCTCCGGGGAACACACACCCTGCCAGCCCAGAATGGGGGACACGGGATCTGGACTTCACATGCTGCAAGAGGTGCGTGGCAGGGGGTTCAGATTCTGCCCTGCACCGCCGTGGGCGTGGCCAGCGCACGCTCCGCCCTCGTCCTGCCTCGGAGGAAAGAGCGAAACAGGCGGAGTGTGTACTGTAAATGTCGGAGGTTCGCGCTGCAGGCCAGCGAGGGGAAGCTGGCCAGCGAGGGGAAGCTGGCCCAGGAACCATCCTAGGCCACAGCACACAGAACCCAACCTGCGCCCGAAAGAGATCCGGGCGTCACGTGCAGTGTGCCAGGAAGGTGCTGTCATTATTACCCCCTTAGGGAGATGAGGAAAACAAGACCCAGAGAGGTCAAGTAACTCGTCCAAAGTCACCCAGCTAGGAAGTAAGGAAGTTGAGATGTGGATTCTTCTACTCTGCCCTAGAGGTCAAGGGTTAGAGGTCAGGACTGCATCTCTGCAAGTCCCTCTGGGTAGCCCATGTCTCAGCACAGCTGGGCCTCCTGACAGCACCCCGGGAAAGCAGGGTCTGGGGAGGGCCTGCGTGCCAAGCAGCGCTGGACTGCTGCCTCCACAGTTCTATCTTTGTGCAGCTGCGGCTCTGCAGCAAGAACTGACTGCTTGAATCGCAAGTGTTTGTTGAATGAAGTAGTGACCGAACGGGAGTTTTCTGGAGCCTATCTTCCTTCACTGTTCACCTTTTCCTTTGGTTCCTCCCTCCAAGCATCCTGTCTCCCAGGACACTTCCTGCCTCAGCAGAAGTTCTTCGTTTCCACTCTCTGTCCACCGTCACCACCCGGTTCTCTTCCTTCCCAACTTCTCCCCCAATTCCCAGCCTCGCTGTATGCTGGGTCAAAGCTGTGGCTCTGCCACCCACTGGTTCTGTGACTTCGTGCAGTTTCTTAACCTCTCGCAGTCTCCACCTTCTAATCTGCTAAAAGGGAGCTGGTAGCCCTAACCTCTTAGAGCAGTGGATCAAATAGAATAATGTAGAAGTTCACCCAACAGCGCGACAGTGCCCAGCTCATGGGAGTGCTCAGAGGGTGTTTGTCCCCTTCCTCTCTCCCTTTCAAGCACAAACCTTTGGACCTTCCTTCTATCACTCCCTCCATTCAAGGATAATTCCTTGTCTAAGGATATCCTGAAGGCATATGATTCTTTGATCTTGACTGAGAACCAATTCTAAGCCACCACACAGAGTTGCAAAACCATAAAACAATTAGTAATAACTCTGCTGTCAAACAATTAATTACCAGGGAGTGTAAATGTGTGCTCAAGGTTCCAACTTGCAGACCAATAGGAGAGTTTAGAAGTCTTCAGTTCCTTGAAGGTTTCCTGGAAACCCAGTGGCTGGAAGGCACAGCTGGAGGCCACTTCTACCTGGAGGCAAAGTCACCAGGAAGTGGCCAACAGGACTTGGGCCAGAAAAAGTCGAGACTGGACTGTGGTGACTGACATCTGAAGCTGCTGGTTTCTCATCAGGACAAAAGCTCTCTGGACGGTTGGAGGGGCAAGCACTTGTAAGTGGGTAAATGGAAATCTGCAGAGACTAAAGAGCCCACCTCTTATATTATCCTGGGTGTAGCTAGAGCCCATCCTTTGAAGTAAGGTATCACAAGAATGGAAAAACAAGCGCCACATGTATTTGCCATCAAATTGGTGGTAACTGATCAACATTTAGGTGCTCGCATGGGAGTGATATTCACTGGGTGCCGGGCAGGTGGGAGGGGTGGTCAGGGTGGGTAAACGCACAGCTAATGGATGCACAGTGCACTGTATGGGGGATGGGCACGCTTGAAGCTCTGGCTTGGGTGATGCAAGGGCATTATGTGTATCCAAAATGTTTGCACCCCCATAATATTGTGAAATTAAAAAAAAAAAAAAAAGAGCCCAGTACAATATCAGGATGGTCTTGAGGAATGGAAGTCAAGATTTCCGTTTTTAAACCTTTGGCCCAAGGCACGTGACCACACTAGAAGCCAACAAATCTGAATGGCAAGGCCTTCTTCCCTCATTTCTTTGCCAGCTAAGAGTTTTTTGAATCAGAAGTGGAAATATTGGAAGGACCCTTTTCCCTGCTGTTTCTGAGATCCTTCAGAGTATCTGAGCCAATTCTTTGATTAAGATGATTCATCAAAGACTCTCTACTTTGGATTTCCGCAACACTAAATATTTGAATTGAACCTGAAGAGAGGTTGAGATGTTTGGGAGGTTAAGAGAGGACTTAAGACGTCTCGGTTCCATTCGATTTCTCTTGAGGGTCAACTCTTGGAATTATAAAGCAAATATATCTGTATTTTATAATATGTTATTCTTATGTAATTTCTCCAGACTTCCAACCTTTAAGCCAAAGAGTAGGAGATAAGTTTAATGGTTTCTATTTACTGTAACTCAATAATACAAAGTTTAACTAGAAAGTAATCAAGGTGAATTTTAGAATAAACACTCCAACACTTTCATAATAGAACAAGTAATGGCTTCAGAGTGGTTACCGTCAGAGAGTATGCTCCAACCTGGAAAGTGTTGCTCTAGCTCCAAATACATTCTGCAACTCCTCTTTCAAGGTTGCCTTCAAGGCCAATGTACAGGACTTAAGTTAAAATCTACTTTTGACTCCTAATAGCGTTCCACAACTTGTCTACTCCATGCTAGTCCCCAGATTTAGCCAGGAATGGTGTGTGTCTATTTCTAAAAATCAAATCTACCTTAAAAAGATTAAGATTTGCCAACCCCAAGGATGTACCTGAAATCAAAAACGCACTGCAGGCTGTGAAGGTCGTTCTCAAGAGCATTTGCTAAGGTGTGAACAATGGAAACGCTGTTTGACAGTGAAGCTTTCCAGGGTAGAGACTCTGACAACCACATACCTCACTCGTGTGCACTAAGTCACAAAACGCCAGACGTAGCAGAGCCATGGAGACAGAGTGCACACTAGGGGGACAGGGGCCTGAGAGTGACAACCTCTTTAGACTCACTCTCCTCATTCTTATCCTGGCCACATTTCCTAGCATACATTTAAGCTCCCTGCCCCACCACCTTGCCCCTTCCATGGCTTTGTTAAAAGCATCAATCTTTTATTATTTATTTATTTATTTATTTATTTATTTATTTATTTATTGAGACAGGGTCTTGCCTTGTCACCTTAGGCTAGAGTGCAGTGGTGTCATCATATCTCACTGCAACCTCAAACTCCTGGGCTCAAGCAATCCTCTCCTGCCTCAGCCTCCCAAGTAGCTGGGATTACAGGTATGCACAACCACGCCCAGCTAATTTTTGTAATTTTTCTATTTTTTGTAGAGACGGGGTCCCGCTCTTGCTCAGGCTGGTCTCAAACTCTCTGGCAACCTCAAGCGGTCCTCCCACTTCAGCCTCCCAAAGTCCTGGGATTACAGGCATGAGCCACTGTGCGAGGCCATGAATGTGGTTCTCAACAATGATGACAGAAGCTGAAAGAGAAGACCAACTTGCAGGTTTCTGTTAGACTTAGTGCCTTGCACAGCCTGGTAAGAGGATCAATAACGCCGATGAAATGAACTGGACTTGATATGCAATACTAAGAAATTTATCTTAACTACAAAATGTATTATCACCGTTATCAGTGCCAGCATTCACCACCAACTCTGCCGTTCCGCATTGCACGCTATGGTGGGAATTACAAATGCCATGCTGCTAAACCACCCTAGATAGGTGTCCTGTGAATTTTTTTCATTAAAACTGTTACTAGTATTGATTTGCCTGAACAAGGGGCTGTTATCAAGGACTGTACTCTGCTCAGTAGATAACCATGAAAATCCAATCCCTGCCCAATCACAGAGGGAAGAGGTGGGGAAATGTTTTGCTAGAGGCTTGTGGAGGTCAGCTGCAGGAAGAATTTGGGGCAAACCTTAGAAAGAGCTGAACTGATCAAAAACAAAATTGCCAGCCTCATGTGACAATGAATTGGCCATCCTGGAAGTGTTTGAGTAGAGGTAGGATGCCCGCTTTGGGGAGACATTGTCTATGGAGGGGCTTCTGCGATAAGCCACGGAGCACCCTGCACCCCTCAGAGGTCGGTTTCTAGGGTTCTGTGACATGGATTGCAAGACAGTGTCTTCGTATTGCTGAGGTCACCACATTCCTTGACTAAATCATTATCCTCCTTTTTTCTGTTTTGGCAGAGCAGATTTTCCTTAATCCCTCTTACCGCAAGGAGTCTTTCTGATTAGCCAAGGGAGGTCCTGACTTCATACCCATTTCCCAACTCAGTCAGAACCGCTTCTGCCTTCCCGTCACGATTCCTGGACAGCAAAGGGCATCGCTAGGGAAGGGAAGCAGCGTCTCAGCGGATCTTCACAAATACTCCAAATAAGCAAAACTTCAGGTCCATGATTTGCAAATGAGGAAACTGGGGTTCCAGGAAGTAAGGTTACTAGCTCAAGGTCTCACGGCGAGCAAAAGCTAGGTGGGCATTCCTATCTAGGTCAGCCTGGCCCAGAGCACGTGTCCTTTCTGTTATACCGGGTGCACCCTGAGTATAAGTGCATATAAACACTGCACTGAGTCACCCAATCCATGTATTTTACTTTTCACTGATGCACCACTGCTCTTCGTAACACGATTCAACAATAACAGCTGAAGGTCGCCCAGTGGTGGCCATGTGCCTAGCGTGGTTTGGGGAGCTTACCATAATAAACTCATGGTGCCCTACGCAGTAGGTACTGTTATTATCCCCATTTTTTAGATAAAGAAACTGGGCCACAGGGAGTTTGCGTGACCTGTACAAGTCACACAGCTGGGAAACAGTAACACCGGGGCTTGAACCCAGACTTGCTGTCATCAGTACCAGCCCCACCTCACCTGCTGCGCATGCATTCTGCCTCTGCCCGGCCTGAGGGTGAAGAGTCACTGTACGTTCCTGCGAACCATCCCCAGCTGTTGGTATAGTGCCACGGACACAGCAGGACACCGACAAATATTGTGTTAATTGGTAACTACAGAAGGGGAGGAGGGGTTGCCAGGGCGAGGAAATGACTGATTACTAAGTGGGCAGTCACTGCGTGAGCAGTCAGCCGGGAGGGCCTGGCCAACTGTCAGAGATCACAGATGTCTCGGGGACATTCAAAAGCAAGTGCAGGGTCAACGCCTTTGGAGCAAAAGCCGCGGTTTTCCAAGTGCAGTGTGGCCATCTGGTTTCAGAAAGCGAGGCTGAGGGAGGGAGGGAGGGAATGAGGGAAGAGCGCCCAAGCGGTCCTACCAGATCTGAGAAACCGGCCCTGCCTGTTTGCTCTGATGCCTTTGAAGGGCTGAATCGGCTCCTTTGTCTCATCAAGCATTCATCCAACAAGCATTTACTGAGAGAGAATTCCACGCTGGGCACTGGGAACAAGCAAAGGCACCAATGCAGCCCCTGCCCGCATGCAGCTTACATTCCAGTGAGGAGGATCAGGGGAGTGATGGATAGTTTATAATGTGTTAGGTGGGGCTAACTGCTATGAAGAAACACAAAACTAGAGCTGGAGGGCTGGGGTGAGAGGGGCCAGGGTGGGTAGGTGGATTTTAAATAGAGTACTCAGAGACAGCCTCTCTCTGGTAAGGAGATCTTTGAGCAGAACCTGAATGAAAGGAGAGGACAAGCCATGCAAATTTCTGGGGGAAGAGTGTTCAGGCAGCCGTGCAAAGGCCCTGAGGTTAGTTCAAATAAGAGCAAGAGCAAAGAGGTCTGTGAGTCTGCAGCATGAGCACAAATTATTCTGCTGAGATCAAATCAGAGTCATAAGGAATTTGAAAGTCCCTTTGTGGCTCTCCAGACTTAGGGCAGACCCAGCTGGTTTTTCTGTCCTATGGAAAATAATGTCTACATGATTAAGAACAGCTTGTATTTATATAGTACTTTGTAGTCAGGAAGTGTTTCTACATATGCAATCTCATGGGTCCTCACAATCTGGTGAGGTAAGACTGCGCCCCTTAACACCTTAAGAACAACTGAGGTGAATAGAAGTAGGGGATTTGCCCAAGGTCATACGGGTGCGTGGTCACACAGGTGTACTACCTAAGGTCACATAAGCCAAGAATAAACTTGCTTGTACGTCCAAATCCAGTACTCAAAGCCTAGTTCATCTTCTCTCTACTCACTGTCACTGTCCCCTGGGCCTAGAGCCTGCTGGGGTCCTCTGGACCCTCCTCCACAGGTGCCTCTTGATGCTGTTGCCAAAGACTGTCTCAAAGGGAGCCAAGGGGACTTCCCAGAAGAAATGAAGTGGCAAGAGCAGTCAGAATATGTCCCAGATTGGCTGAGCTTGGTGGCTCACACCTGTAATCCTAGCACTCTGGGAGGCTGAGGTGGGAGGATCCATTGAGGTCAAGAGTTCAAGACCAGCCTCAGCAAGAGCGAGACCCCCGTCTCTATTAAAAACAGACAAAATTAGCCGGGCATCATGGTTCATGCCTGTAGTCACAGCTACGCAGGAGGCTGATGCAGCAGGATCACTTGAGCCCAGGAGTTTGAGGTTGCTGTGAGCTAGGCTGGCACCACTGCACTCTAGCCTAGGCAACAGAGCAAGACTCTGTCTTAGAAAAAACCAAAAAGACTAACAGAATATGTCCCAGACTAAGCAGGGTATTGAGTCATCCTATGGATGGAAATTCCAAGACTCAAAGAAGAAAATGACCTGCCCAAGTTATCAGAATGAGCAGAGATCTCAATAGTTTATGCCTAGTTCCTCTGTTCATCTTGCCTAGAAGAGGTATTTATGTAGGTACACACATACACACTCACACACATGCTCACACACACAGTCATGCATTGCTTAATGATAGGGATACATTCTGTGAAAGGTATCATTAGGCAAGTTTGTCATTGTGCAAACATCACAGAGGGTACTTACACAAACCTCGGTGGCACAGCCGACTACACACCTGAGCTATATGCTATAGCTGATCCTCCTAGGCTACAGACCTGAGCAGCACGTAACTGTACCGAATGTTGTAGGCAGTTTCTTTTTCAAGATCTAAATACAGTTCAAGATCATGGTCCAAGTCCAAGCCCAAGAAGAGACGAAAACTAGAGACATCTCTAAAACAGATTCCAAAACACATTGTAAGTCTGGCTCAAATATGAAAAGGAAGGAAGGAAAAAAGAATCACCTAGATCCAAATCTCAGTCAAGATCATAGTTTAGGTCTAGGTCAACATCTAGATAAAGGTCTTGGACTAGTCCTAAGTCCAGTGGCCACTGATAGTATAAACCGTGATAATTTTCAGGCAATTATTATATCATTCATTTACTCATAGTTTGGTTTACTTAAATGATCAGGAATACAGTGTTGCCATGATGCTTAAAAAATACTTGCTATTAATATTAATAGTTTCCCTGTACCAGGCAATGGTTATAATTAAAATGATATGCTGTTGAGAAGCTACTCTTAAGAGTCCAGTTTGTTTAGTGTTATGGGCAGCTACTAATTTGCAGTGTCTGTATATTTTTCTAAAGATTCCCTTTTATTTTCTTTTTTCTTTTTCTGAGACAGGGTTTTTCTCTGTCACCTGGGTTAAGGTACAGTGGCATCATTATAGTTCACTGTAACCTCAAATTCCTGGGCTCAAGCAATATTCCTGGTTTAGCCTCCTGAGTAGCTGGAACTACAGGTATGCACCACCACAGCCAGCTAATTTTTCTATGTTTTGTGGAGATGCAGTCTCACTCTTGCTCAGGCTGGTCTTGAACTCCTGGCCTCAAGCAGTCCTACTGCCTCAGCCTCCCAAAGTGCTAGGATTAAAGATGAGAGCCATTGCACATGGCCAAGATTCTCATTTTTTTGCTTAAAGTATTTGGTCAAAAGATGTCGGCTGACCAAAATTTGCAACATTGTCTTATTGAAAATCAACTTTCATATTCATATTTGGTAGAACTGTTAACCTAGAAATGTAGTTTGCTAATAAGATAGAATATACAAAAATGAAGTTGTAGTCACAGTACAACATTGACTGCTCACTTTTAAGTTCAGGGTGGACATTTATGTGTTGTCAAGATGTGCAGGCCCCTGGCTGGGCACGGTGGCTCACACCTATAATCCTAGCACTCCGGGAGGCCGAGGCAGGCGGATTGCTCGAGGTCAGGAGTTCAAAACCAGTCTGAGCAAGAGCGAGACCCCTTCTCTACTATAAATTCAAAGAAATTAATTGGCCAACTAATATATAGAGAAAAAATTAGCCGGGCATGGTGGTGCATGTCTATAGTCCCAGCTACTTGGGAGGCTGAGGCAGAAGGATTGCTTGAGCCCAGGACTTTGAGGTTGCTGTGAGCTAGGCTGACGCCATGGCACTCTAGCTAGGGCAACAGAGTAAGACTCAGTCTCAAAAAAAAAATCTGAGCAGGTCAACCATGGCAGAAATAATTTTAAGGGGAAAAGAATGTTCCGATGTACTTATATGAAAATTAGGAAACTTGTTGAACATATATTACCTAGTTTTCTTACTGCTGTTAGAAATAAGTAAATTGTTTCAAAATAGGTTTTGTGTGTTTATGCTTAGTGTCAAAGAACTGATTTTTGATGCTTACAGCATGTTTCATTACTTTTTTTTAGATTTTCCTGGATGTAACAAAAAGTCTATTTAAAACTGTAGCAGTAGTTTGCAGTTCTAGCAAAGAAGAAAGTTGTGGGGTTAAGCTTTGTATTTTCTTTCTTACACAAGCTTCTAAAAAGTTACTTTTTATACGTTCTTTTTAACAAATGTTGTGTATAACCTTTAAAACATCCATGTTTGGATCAAAACAAGACCTAGCTTATTTTCTACTTCCTGTAAATTAAGCAAACATGCTAGAATAAAAACAAAATGAAGGAAAAAAAGAATTTAAGAACTCTGTTCTTAAATTAGACACCCAGCCCTTGGCCTGAACCCTCCTTACTGTCTCTGTGTGGCTTAGGTAGAAACATGTTCCTCTAAGACTTAGTTTTCAAGGTTGGGCGCTGTGGCTCATGCCTGTGATCCTAGCACTCTGGGAGGCCAAGGCAGAAGGATTCCTTGAGGTCAGAATTCGAGACCAGCCTGAGCAGGAGCGAAACCCCATCTCTAGTAAAATAGGAAAAATTAGCTGGGTGTGGGGGTGTGCTTCTGTGGTCCCAGCTACTTGGGAGCTTGAGGCAGGAGAATCGCCTGAGCCCAAGAGTTGGAGGTTGCTGTGAGTTGTGATGATGCCACTGCACTCTAGCCTGGGCAACAGAGTGAGACCTTGTCTCAAAAAAAAAAAAAGACTTTTCACATCCGCAAAACAGAACTAACAGCAGTTCCTATGGAATGGGGTTGCCATGATGAAGATAATGTGCTTAGCAGCATCCCTGCACAGAACAGATAAATGGTAGCTGCTATGATATTATTATCACTATTATTGATATTATATACCTACTCTCTACCCAACATTTTGCATATATTACCTCTATCCATTACAAGAACCATGTTATTATCTCCAAATACAGATGGGAAAAACCCCTCAGCTGGACTAGTTGAGGAACTTTTTTTTTTTTTTGAGACAGAGTCTCACTTTGTTGCCCAGGCTAGAGTGAGTGCCGTGGCATCAGCCTAGCTCACAGCAACCTCACACTCCTGGGCTCAAGCAATCCTCCTGCCTCAGCCTCCCGAGTAGCTGGGACTACAGGCATGCGCCACCATGCCCAGCTAATTTTTTTTCTCTCTCTATATATATATATATTAGTTGGCCAATGAATTTCTTTCTATTTATAGTAGAGACGGGGTCTCGCTCTTGCTCAGGCTGGTTTCGAACTCCTGATCTTGAGCAATCCGCCCGCCTCAGCCTCCCAGAGTGCTAGGATCACAGGCGTGAGGCACCGCGCCCGGCCTAGCTGAGGAACTTGTCCAAGAGGAACGG